TCGGCCCACGGAAGACCTGGAGACCAGCGGACTGGTATGAAGAAGATGCCAACCCCTGATCTAGACACTATACTTCTATTGATATAGCCTAGAATTGCACTGGCTTTTTTAGCTGCCGCATGACATTGTTGACTCAGGTTCAGCTAGTAGCATTTAGTCCAGGGGTGAGCAACTATGGGTGCCTAGGAGCCTGCATTAGCTCCCCAAAAGAATGTGGAAGGCCACCTCCCACTATGCTGCATACATTACAAAAAATATTTGAGACCGGAAGAACACAAAAGCAGACCTGGGGCCACATGCTGTCCAGAGGATTATTTTGCTCACCCCAATTGAGGATATTATTTGTTTTATTTGGTGTTCAGTGCTCTTTGGAGGACTCGAAAAATAAACCTCTGTCTTCCTTCCTTAGGTTATTCCATGGCCTGAGAGGCAACATTTTATTATGCTTATGACTGTTCCCAAACAGGGACCATTACTCATCAAAGCAAATAAAATAGAGTAATATAGAAACATAAAATAAAGCTGCTGCGACTGATGCAGTTGTGATTCATTGGAGTTTTCCAAAATGTGACTAGATTAATATCTCTTACTGAAGATTTTTCAGGCTTTAAAAGAACAAGATGTATTAAACTTTGGAGCTGCTACTGTGGCTCTGTAATAAACCCAGCCATAAAAATCATATAAACAAAAGAAACATTAACGGCATCCAAAGCCCCAGTGACTGCTTGGTTTCTGAGAGAGGAACTACTAGGTGTATAACTCTTGGCTAATTCCATTCCCCAAGGAAGCAATGGCTACTTTTAGCAATTTCCTCCACGCTCTGAGAAAGTGCAGTTTTCAAAGACTATTCACAGGTCAGCAGTTATGCTGTGCAAAATTTGTGCACAGTAATTTTGCACAGAAAACAACACTTTCTTCCCAGAAAACAGATTTTCCAGACAAAAATGGTATTTCTTTCAATGCCTGTTCTCTTCAGGGTTTCACGACACTTGAAAAGCTCATTTTAAAATCTTTGGTGGGAGGTGGCCTTCCATATTCTTTCCCAGCCTCGGCAGCTGCCCAAGGTCACCTTAATAAAAAGCATCTTCAGTGCAGAAAATGAGGTTTCCTGGTCAGAAAATCCTGGTTTGGGTGCAAATCAACCATGTGCAAATGTTGTGCAGAATAATTCCTGAATGGGTTTTAGATGGATGGCTGTGGGACTGAGAGAAGGGCCTCTCCTGAGGATCTCACGTCTGACGTCCATTCACACATGTGATCTGCCAGACCTGAGCCATAAGGTAAATGTACTGCCCTTTGGAATCAGAATTAGAAAAGTAACTTTGGGGTACTATGTTGTCTTGGAGACACTACTTTTGGGAAATTCCTAGTCTGAAGAATTTGGGGAGTTGTGATCCCTGGCCTATTGTAAGATTCCTAGGACTCATTTTGAGGTGTTTGGCCATCATTGCTTATCATGGAGTCACAGCACTGTAGAGTTGGGATAGCCCAAAGGTCACCCCAACCCCCTGCCAGGGCAGGAAACCACTAGTAAAGCACCCCTGACAGGTGGGGCCCCCAACTTATTTCTCATTTGGAAATCTCAGAGACACATCCAAGTAGGAGCATAATTCATTGCCATTTTACCACCCCATTGTATTTAGTGGGATTTGAATATCCATTGATTGTGGTATCCACGAGGAGGAAAGGTCTTGGAACCAAACTCTAGAGGATACCAAGGGCCCACTGTAAATATGGTAAATGAAATCAGTGTTGGTGCCAGTCGGGCCTCCAAGGGGAGGGTATGTCAAAACTAGGATGCCAAAGCTGAGACGGCCCAGTTGCCACATCCCCACACAGTGTACTGACCTGACTGGTGAGATGCAGAGGAGAATCCTCCTGTAGGAAAAAAAATCTACATAAAAATAATATTTTCTATGCAATAAAGAGGCCAGACAGATATCTGCTGGGGCTGCTTTAGCAGAAGATCCTGTACTGAGCATATGTGTGTGTGTTTGGTGTGGACTTCATGGCATACGGGGCCCATTCCATCTCTGCATTGTATTATCCTAATTGTTCAATTTGTATGCAGGAAATATTATGCAAAGAGTAGATTTAGACTCAGAAGAAGGAAGAGTAAAGACAGGAGGAAGGAAATCAACAATCTAAGATATGTGGATCAGACATCATACTAATAACGAAAAACATCATGGTCTTGAAAAAATTACTAAGGAAGGTCAAAGAGGAAATTGCAAAGGCAGGATTAATGCTGAACATAGTGAAAACAAAAATAATGACCACCGAAGAAATACACAAATTCAACCTAGATCATGAGGAAATCAAAACAGTTAAAGAATTTGTGGAGTCGTAGGCTTTTTTCTCTGAAGATGCTAGCCACAGATGCTGGCGAAACATCAGAAAGAAACTCTTCTAGAACATGGCCACACAGCCCGAAAAACCCACAAAAAACTAAGTTAAAGAATTCCCATACCTATGATCAACACTGATCAGAACAGGGACTGCAGTCAAGAAATCAGAAGAAGACTAAGGGGGGTTGCAGACTGCCAGAAATAGTGCAAATTGAGTCCACTTTTAGGGTTAGGGTTAGGGTTAGTGCTAGGGAATCATGGGAATTTTTTTTTTCTGAGACATTGGGCCTTCTCTGTCAGAGAGCTCTAGTGCCACAATAAACTACAGTTCCCATGATTCCCTAACCCTAACCCTAAAAGTGGACTCAATTTGCACTATTTCTGGCAGTCTGCAACCCCCCTAAGAATGGGAAGAATGGCTATGAAAGAGCTAAATTGCAAAGATATACAATTGGGCACCAAAGTCAGAATTGTCTGAGCCATTTTGTACTCCCCATGACCATGTATGGCTAGGAGAGTTGGA